CTCTACCACTGAGCTACCTTCCCAGCCCCTCTCATAGACTTTCTTGCCTGGGCTGGCTTTGAATGGTGATCCTCAGGTCTCAGCGTCCAGAGTCGCTAGGATTACGGGTTTTGTTTTTGTGTTTTTTTGAAACAGTTTTTTCCTTTGTTGCCCAGACTGGTCTTGGGCTTCAGTGATCCTCCCCTCTCAGCCTCCTGTGTGACTGGAACTACAAACATACACCACTATGTCCAGCTTCCAGTTGGTCTTTTGATTTTGTTTAATGAGTTCTTTTGTGTGTATGCATCATACAGTAATTGATAGTGATGATTAATTACCTTTTCCTTCATGTTTTTGGGGGAATCTATATTATGCCCTTTTCATTTTTAACAGTTTTTTGTTGGTTTCTTTTAAGGTTTTTTGTTTTGAGTTTTTTTCTTGACACAGAAGCTGGCTTGTCTTGAACTCAGCAGCAATTCCTGCCTTGGTCTCTTTAGTGCTAGGATTACAGATGTGTGCACATCACACCTGGCAATAATAGTTTTAGAAAATATTATTTAATTCACAGCAAGATTCCCCCCATGGGGACTCCCTCATTCAGTCATTTGATGTTCCTTTTTCTGGCTTCCCACCTCTGATTATTCACTCTTCTAGTGACTGCTATAATTAACTAAAGGCCTTCTCTTTCTTGCAGAAGCAGATGAGGGCTGAGGAAGCAAAAATTGTTCAAGAAAAAGCTGCAAAGATCAAGGAGTGGGTGACCCTGAAGTTAGCAGAAGTGAGTTGAAGCCTTATTCTGGGGGGCGCTGGCCTGGGGTATTGCTTGGGTTGCTCCTATCCCCAGAGTTTCCTGTCTTCTTCCATACCAGGGACTTGCTGGGCTTCACTTTGTTAATGTTTGTTCTTCACTGATTCCCCTGGCTTTACTGTCTCATTCCTTTTGACTTGGTTAGTTTCCTTGAGTTCCAGACTAACTTTGAGTAAAATATACATGAAATCTGCCATTGCAACTGTAGTTATTTTTCCTGCCTGGGCTGGCTTTGAACAACAATCCTCAAATTTAGCCTCCTGAGTAGCTAGGATCACAGGCATGAGCCACTAGCAGCAGCCAGCCTGCAAATTAATATATATATATTGCCAGTTTGGAGCTTGAATTCAGGGCCTGGGCACTGTACTTGAGCTTCTCAAGGCTAACACTCTACCACTTGAGCCATAGCGCCACTTGTGGCTTTTTCTGTTTATGTCATACTAAGGAATGGAACCCAGGGCTTCATGAACGCAAGGCAAGCACTTTACCACTAAGCCACATTCCCAGCCTCAAACTATATTTTTAAGTGTACAGTTCTGTCATTGCTGCTAAATGCACACATAGTGTTATATAACTATCACACTACTATTTTCATAGCTTTTCATCATCCCAGAAGAAACTGTCTGTCCAATGCTGACTCAGTCCATCCCTCATGCCAGTTCCAGGTAGCCCCTGTTCCCCCTTTCCTCTCTGTCTATGTACTTTTGTACTTCATCACTGCTAAGCCAGCCTCTTTATAAACTAAAGGTATGAGAGTCGTAGTTTGGGAAAGGTTAAACATGCAGCTCTTACTCTGGCCTTCTGAGTTCACTCCTGCAGGAGGGTATTGGCTAATTTTGCCTCCCCTTCTTCTTTAAATATATATCTCAGGTCACTTGCTAAACTATATGTTTTTAGGGATAGAACTAACAATTTACCTCCATTTTCCCACAGCCATATTGGGCCCTTGCTAAAAGGTGCTCAGTAAACGTGTGCAAGGGTAGCTGGCCATCAGGACTCACGCCTGTTAGCCTAGTTCCTCAAGAGGCTGAGACTTGAGGATCACGGTTCAAAGCCAGCCTGGGCAGTAAAGTCACTGAGACTCTCATCTGTAATTATCTGTTATCTTTATCGATATCTATTAGAAAGTGGAGCTGTGGGTCAAGTGGTAGAGCACTAGCCTGGAGCATAAGAGCTCAGGGACAGTGCTCAGGCCCTGAGTACACACACACACACACACACACACACACACACACGTATGCACACGCACACATACACACGTGTATGAGTTTAGTTTAAACCCGTACAGCTGCTATAAAGATGGGTCTCATAGTCATTATGTGAAGAGAAAGAAGCTAGACTTAGAGAAGCACACTTTATGTAATTCTACTTACCTAAAGTTCAAAAGTGGGCACAATTAAATTAATATGTAACAATGTACAACAGGGAGCTAAGACCCAGGAAACAAGGAAGTGAGTGGCAAACTGAAAGGACTGATTACCTTTAGTGGGGAGGAAGGGACCTGTGATTATGAAGCGTGAGTCAGCCAGTTGCCTGGGGCACTGGCAGGCTGTTATCTAGCCTGGGTGGTGGTCCTGGGAGTAGTCATTTCAGAGTCATTTGTTAAGCCATTTGTTGATGTGGGATGCAGTTTTCTGTATACATGTTATGTTTCACAATTTTCCAAAAAAAAGATTGAAAGTAAGGATGTATCCAAATCATGGGGCATTCACACACACACACACACACACACACACACACACACACACACACACCTTTTTTTTTAAAATAACTAAGCTGGGCACCAATGGCTGTAGCTACTCTGGAGGCTGAGATCTGAGGATCACAGTTCAAAGCCAGCCTGGGCAGGAAAGGCTGTGAAACTCTTATCTCCAATAAACCACCAAAAAGCCGGAAATGGTGCTATGGCTCGAGTGGTAGAACACTCTCCTTGAGCTGAAGAGCTGAGGGACAGTGCTCAGGTCCAGAGTTCAAGGCCTATGACGGACGACCAAAAAAATAAGTGCAGGACTGCCAAATAAGATTCTATGCGAGCCAATGCCAGCTAGAACAAGAGGAAGACAAGGTCAGGACTTCTCAGGAAGGTTAGCACTGGATTGATGAGATGAGGGTACCAAGTATTATTTGTTAAACGTTTTTGGCTTTTAGGCTTGTTTTGAGTTAGGTATCTGAACATCCAGGTACAGGTTACTTTAAACTGACTATTTGTTGATGTTTCTTTGTTTTGTTTTGTATTCTTTTTTTTTTTTTTTCTTGGGTCCGGTCATGGGGCCTGAACTCTGGGCCTCGGCGCTGTCCCTCAGCTCTTCAGCTCAAGGCTAGCGCTCTACCACTTGAGCCACAGTGCCACTTCCGGCTTTTTTCTTTTTGCTTATGTGGTGCTGAGGAATCGAACCCAGGGCCTCATGCGTGCAAGGCAAGCGCTCTACCACTGAGCCACCTTCCAAGCCCTGTTTTGTATTCTTATGCCAATCCTGAGTCTTGAAATCACAGCCCAGGCACTGTCCCTGAGCTTTTTTGCTCAAAGCTAGCACTCTATCTCTTGAGCCACAGCTCCACTTCCAGCTGCTGCTACTGCTGCTGCTTCTTTCTTTTTCTTTCTTCTGGTTAATTGGAGATAAGAGTCTGTGGGCATGGATTTTCCTGCTCAGGCTGTCTTTGAACCATGATCCTCAGATCCCAGTCTCCTGAGTACTAGGATTACAGGTGTGAGCTGCTGGTGTTACTGGTGTCCATCTGTCTTTCCTCCCCCACTTCCCCGCCCCTCTTTTTGTTGTTGTTGTTGTTGTTGATTGTGGGGCCTGAACTCTGGGCCTGGGCACTGTCCCTCAGCTCTTCAGCTCAAGGCTAGCACAGTACCACTTCCAGCTTTTTCTGCTTATGTGGTGCTAAGGAATCAATCCAGGGCCTCATGCAAGTGAGGCAAACACTCTACCACTGAGCCACCTTCCCAGCTCAGAGCTATTGGTTTTTGATGTTGGAGATCAGATCCAGACTCCGGCAGGCTAGTCAAGCATTCTGCCACTGAGCTCCATCCTCAGCCCCTTAAATCTTCAATTTTCTTTTTGTCCAGCTGGAGATGGAGAATCAGCACCTCAAGAGCTGTAATCAGCACCTTCGAGACCAGGTGGGAGCACTTCAGCATGATCTGGAAGGTAAGCAGGCCACATATAGGTGTACACAACAGGAACGGGGCTCAATGGAGTCTCACCTCAGTATGCCTGTGTTTTCCTCAATCACAGCTCTTCGGATGGCACCCACAGGGAAGCTGCTAGGGGCCTCAGAAGGAACTGCAGAGCCGGATTCTGTCCCTTCAGGGCCAGGAGACCAGCCTGTGGGGCAGGACATTGTTCCCCAGGCCCAGGATTTAAAGGCAACTGTGTCTGCACCTTCTTCGGGAGCCTTGCAGAACAAGGACCCTTTGTCTGAAACCAGCAGCCCTGAGGATTCTAGCTGCAGTGTGGCCCGACCTGGGGAAGTAGTAGAAAGCAAGACCCTTCAACTCCATCTGGGAAGAGAGGCACCTCCCAGCCAGCTGTGCATGAAGCCTAGCACCCCCAGACATGGCTCAGCCTTCTGGAGGGAGGTTCTGGTCACTGCTCAAGGAGGGACACTTCCTGGCACCAAGAACTCGGCCAGGGAAGGAGGCCCTGGCAGTAGCCTGACACTGCCAAAGGTTCGGGCTCCTAGCACCCCTCGAGACAGTATCCAGGTGGCTAAAAGGCACCATAGCCAGCCCCAGGTGGGCCCTGGACATTTTGACCAGGTGGTGAGCATTGAGATCGGGGCCCTGTCAGCTCTCCACCCCTCTAGGCTTTCCAAGCTGGAGGCCCAAGCTCGGCTCCAGGAAGAACCAGAGAAGATGGAGATGGAGGAGCCGACTTCAGCAGGGAAGGAGAAAGAGAGAGAGAGCCTGAAGACCACTGGAGCTGAGCTACAAGAAGGGGGGCTGAGGAACAAACCACCCACACCCCCCCTGCATAGGTTTCCATCCTGGGTAAGAGGTGACCAGGGGCCGGGCTGGAAGCAGAGCCAAAGATGGGCACACGGTCCCTTGATAGTATCCATGAGCTGAGCCTAGGTGGGCCTGGCAGCCTGGCTTTGGGTCTTAGAGGCCTGTACCATAGAGCCTGCCCAGCCCACCTGTTGGTGAGGAGCAGAGCCAGAATCTGAAGGTGTAAATGGTGGCTGACTGAAACGTCTAAGTGCTTACCGCCCACTAAGCTGAGTGCCTTGTGACATTTTCTTGTATGTGTAGGGGTTAAGAGCACAGGTTCCAGGATCATGTCACTGGGGTTTAATTGTTAACTCTGTGACCCTGAGCAAGTAACTAAGCCTCTGTGCCTCAGTTTCCAAGTCTGTAAAATGAGGGTCCTAGTGACAGTTGGATTGTTAGGATGATTAAATAGGTTAGTGGCAAGTGGCAGATGCTACATAAGTGTTGGATATATATTTTATGTATAACATGATAAAGTGCTGTGAGGTCTGGGGGGACTGCTTCATAGCGAATGGCAGGGGAGGGAGGAGATGGGGTGCAGATGGAAGTGCATGGATGGTCTGTGAGCACAGTGCATGCTGCAAGGTGGGGCCAGTCAGTCTCTGCACTGTTCTCTCTACTTATGTGCCTGATATTTTCTGTGATTAAAAAAAAAAAAAGCTAGAATAAAAATGAGGTAGATGTCAACATCCCACAGCAATGAGGATGATGGGAGGATTCAAAGGGCTTCACACAGAGCCCAGCACGTCTCAAAGACCCTCAGCTGTGTGGAGAATTAAATGTTGGCTGTACAGTTTAGCCTCTGGCCCAAGTTCTGTAGTAGTTAGTGGCTTCTAGTTCAGGTCCTGCTGCTTTGAAGCCCAGCTCTAGTGTCCTTGCTGTGCAGTCTTAGGGGGTTATGGCCACTGCAGATGGCCTCTCTCTCCCTCTCTCTCTCTCTCTCCGCCTCCTCCCTACCTCCCTTTTCCTCTCTCCCTTCCTTCCCCCC